TACGTGCCACACAGCACTTGCAACAACCGAATTATTTCAAGAAAAGTTTGGAGAATTGATAATTTCAAGAAATTGTGACATTGAAGGGCTTCCAAGAAGTCGTGATTTCACACCATTAGACTACTTGTGGGATTATTTAAAGTCAGTGGTCTTTAGCAATAAACCAGACTCTCTTCAAGCTTTAGAATTAAATGTTGAACGTGCTATTCGTGGCATACGACTTGATTTAGTGGAAAAAGTACTTAAAAATTGAGTTCATCGAACTCGTTCCTGCAAAAGAAGTCGTGGAGGCCATTTGAATGATGTTATATTCAGAACTTAATTCTGTTAGATTATCCTGTTTTGATATATATCTGATTATACTTCACATTTAATAAAAAACATTTGATTGTCATTAGGCATTAGTGTCTTATTGGAAAACCCTTATTTTATAAAGTTTTTAGAGTTATGGCGTTACATGGCCGCGTTCGTTAGCAAATGCTTAGGACACCAACAGAAAATTAATGAAAATTAATAAGCGAATAATACTTGTAGTATAGAAGCACAATAGCACTATTCTAAAGAGATTATTTTGGAGTGAGTAAGCAGGAGTAGTGACATTTTAACCAAACAAAAATAATATAATATCCAACTATACCAGATGCTCAAACAAACGGGCAGCACTTGTGGTGCAGCCCTGCACTAACATGTCAGGAGACAATGCATGTGCAATAGTGTTATGATTGTTTCTTAGTGGAGAAATTATTTTTTGCGTTAAAAAACGTTGCTGTAACCATTTATTTTGGTTTTCTATTAATTATTATAATTGATTTTTGGTTTTATGTTTAAAAAATACAACAAAATAAAAAGAATTTGTATTTTCATTTGTCATTTGAACGATTCTTAATAGTAACGGCGAGCTAAAATTTGTAAAACTAAGCTTGGCAGCATTCAAGATAGAAGTTATACACTGTCCTGCTTTAATTCAGCTCGCTAACCTTGTTATTAAGAGCAGACAAATGACCAATCGAAAACAACTAATATTACAAGTATGTTAAAGTGTGTCATTTCTTGGCAGTTTTTTCATCTAAAATACAGGCTATAAACTTCCAGCACTTAGTATTAATTTTAAGAGGTGCCTGTTCCTTATTTTCCCTTTGTTTTTTAAATGGCATAGACAAAAATTTGTTTTTTAGTTGAAAATACAAGTTGTCTAAAAATGGCACACCATACAGCAAATGATATGTTGCATAAACATAGATGATAACAATCTATATATCATCCGAAAGGATATGGACGATTTAACTCGGAAAGTATGCCACTTTTCTTTACTAGGTTCGTTTATGCCCAGAGAGCTTACAGCGTTTGCAGCAGATGTTGTGGTGGGTCACACGTTGCCATTTAGTATCAAAAAAATGTGATAAGCCTCGATTGACTGCGTAGTATACTATAATGAACCAGCAACCTATTGGACATTTTTTTGACACGTATTTACAAATATCAATCTACTGCTTGGCGGTCGACAAACCACCAAACCACAAAAAATGAAATCGGTCAGCAGTCTTACTAAATGTCTATAGTCCCATGTGAAGGCATTTAATAGTAGCAGATAAATAGCTATAGAAGGTTTACTTTAAGATGAAAACTCACTTAATTACTATATATGATCTGGATTACATAGGTGGGGGCTATTTAACCATAAATAACCATAATGCGCTTCTCAAGGGAAAGCAAACAAAAGAAATTCCGCCGAACTAGTAAATAGCTTATAATAAAAGCTGTTTTCATGTTTCTCTGATTTATACATGTATTTTATAGTATTTGCTAAGAGTATTTATTTATTTGTATTCGTAATTAATTATACAAAAATATAAATTTAAAGATACTGAATTAAAACAATAAAACACGTTAACTTCGTTTGCACCAAAGCTATAATACTCTTCACAAATACAAAAGATTTCATACAAGAACTATTTTTTGATCGTTCAGTTTGTATAACATAAGCTATAGAGGTCCGATCTGAATAATTTCTTTGCAGATTATACAGTTGCCTTGGACTATAATTTATGCCAAATTTTGTGAAGATACCTTGTCAAATAAAAATTTTTCCGTACAAGGATGTGATTCTGATCGTTCTTTTAGTTTATATACCAGCTATATGCTATAGTGGTTTTATATCGGTGGTTCCGACAAATGAGCAGCTTGGGGACAGAGAGACACGCGTAAAATTTGAGATCGATATCACAAAAACTGAGGTACTGGTTCACTGATACGCTGATATACTGGCAGACGGACAAGACTAATTCGACTCAGCACATCACACTGAATATATTAATAGTACTTTTTAGGGCCTCAGATCTTTCCTAGTGGAAGGTATAAACTTCGTGCAAACTTGTTATACCCTACTCAGGTTATAAAAAAAAGTATCCCCTTTTTATAATTCCCATCAATAATATTTGTGTAATTTGGACCATATTTTAAGACACATAAAGACTCTCCCGATAATTTTAGTGTCCGATAGGCTAAAAATTCTTAAAGTATTTATAAGTATGTTATCGTTCCAGAGTATAACTTTCCCTTGCTTGATAAAATGTTGACATTTCTCGCTATTTCCATATTCTCTATTCTTTCTTAGACAGTACTTGGTCCACCCGTTGCGTACTGCGACCAATAAGTGGACTTCATTCGCTTGAATCGTACATTTTTACAAGCTCTTCATATAGTACAAAAATCTCCGGTAACTTAGTACCATCAAAAATATGTACAATACATACATAATACGTACGTAAGTATATATGCTTTTCATTAGCACCACTTTCCGACTTGTGAAGATTGTTATTTTTAAAAGTATACTAGTATTATATACTTCATCATTTAAATGGGCTGCCTTTGACTTGCCAAATTTAGAAAGTGGCGAACCGAAAAAACAATGCATTACTCTAGCATATTAAAATACCGTTAAATTAGGAAGAGCTAAGAATATTAAAAAAATGTCATAAATATTTTTCAAATAAAGTGAACACTTTTTCAACGCAATTATTTATACTCGTATGGCATGGCGGTTGTCCTAATTACACCTCATTTTTTTATAAAGGTCATCATTAGTTCGTGTACTATATTTACCGTTACCAACATTCATAAATCTTTTGTAGGAACTTTTTTTTAAATATTTGAAATGAGCGTTGATGATCTTTAACGTTTCTTTACAGCAAATAACTAAATTTTGTTTTATAAGATTTAGTAAAGATGGAATGAGATAGCTCAGAAATCGGATAGGATATTTTAATAGTTTTCCTATTTATTATCATCTCCGCTGCTGCTTCTTACGTATAGCCCCCAATTCAAACCACAATGAGCTGTGGTATGCTTCATGAGAATGTTTGGCCAATCTTTCATTACTGACAGTTGTTTGATAGATACCTTCAACTCTACAACTGTTATGATAAGATATAATATTATGTTATATTAAAACCGTCTTTAAGACGTCCCTTGTCTTAAAAATATAAAATTCATATAGTGATGTAAAAAAAAAATATATATAAATTAATCAAAAAAATTTGTGTATTACAGATGCCGTTATATGCCTTATGGTAATTCTCGCATTGACCTCTATTATTTGGAGCATTACGATACATATATTATCTGGTGATTTTTATCATGGCATTCTCGGCGCTAAATTGGCATTCCGTGAACGAGATTTTCGACAAATGGATGACCATTCCAAAGAGATTTTCTACCATGACTTGGACAAATTACTAAATGAAACATACACCGAAATCGATGTGGACGATCAGGTTGAAGATGACAAAACCACCCTGACGCCTTTGGAATCTAATGGTAATACAAAACCTTTTGGTATATGTAAAAAGTTTACTAATTTATTTAAACTAATTTAGCAACCACCAAGCAGCACAAGGTGAGCAAGCCCTACCACATTTTTCAATTGGTACGACCCGACAAGGACGAAAATAAATCCGAAGAGGACGTGGTGTCGGGGGAGGTCAGCACTACAGCGCTGCCAGTTGTGAAATTCAATATGACGCATGATCGCCAGTTTTTGACTACAAGTATGTATGAATAGTGATAGAATTTCAGAAATGTGTAATGTAAATATAATATTTCTGGTATTTAGCAATCTTGTGTGGATTACTTGCAATTTTACTTACATCACACATATAAGTACATTTAAATTTCTTTTCCTTCTTTTATTTTTTTACTTGGTTTATGCTTTAATTGTGATTATTGCTTTGCAGTGATGCTAGATGTACACAAAACACGCTGGCGCCAAAGCGCCGCCGTTCAATTCATTTATAGTTTTCCATTTTTGTCGGAAATCTTTGCGATAATATGGACTGCAATGTGTTTAATATTTCAATCGGGCGTGCAGAAATATTGGTGAGTAAACAATAATGTTGCTGTTTAGAGAGTGTTAATGAACTGGAAAGTAGGGGAGGTCAAACCATCTGAGGTTGTCGTCTTTACTTAACCCCTCATACATTTATAGTTGCCGTGCTTCTCACAGCACGGTCGTCAGTCAGCCAAGTTTAGTTTGAGTAATTTCAATTTCATCGTCGATCGATTTTTCATATTTAGTTCTTTAACAAAGACAATATTATATTTGGGTTAAAGAAAAATAATGGTCTGGCGCCATTTTAGTTAAGTGGACGGTCTTGCGTTATTTATAGCCATATGTGACGAATTCAAAATATTTCTTAGATATAATCGCTATAGCTGCGTGCATTGATTATGTAACCAACATTTTACAGGTTATTTTTTTTCGTAAAAGTCACTTTCGGGACGCCTTAGGACCAACCATTTGGTGGTAAACATTTAGAAACAACCACCCAATAAGAGGGTACCCTTGGACAAAACCTGGTAGGAGTGGTAGATGTGAAATTGGAATCTGAATTTCACAAATTAAGTGAGATAATATTATCCTTCGTTCGTTCGATCTAAGGACGTCACCATCGCGGGCTATTAACCAAGGCAGGAAGTGTGGATTCTACAACATTGTTTTCAAACCGAATGAAGCAGTATGTAGAGGCAACAAGGTGGGAGGTGTCATAAAATCCATCAGCCGATTTAGGACCCCCCATTTAGTGATAAATATTAAGACAAAGCCAAATAGAGGGTAACCTTTGACAGGTCTGAGGCTGAAACACCAATTTTCAAATTTGTATGAGAAAATAATGATGTTACAGTATTGTTCTCTATTAAACTTAAATGAATTCCCTTATTTTATAACATAACATACAATAGAACTACGACTATATCCGGATTCTTTTTCTTTTTAAAATTAAGTTTAAAATCTTCTAATTTCTAAATCAATTATGGTGGATGATTTTAGAAATTCTAAATAGATAACTAGTATCTAGTAACTTTCATATTTATGAGCAAATCCCTTATGCAATAAAATTACAAAATCTGTTTCACAAAATACCACATTTCTTAACAGGGGACTTCCAAAACCGTGGCGTATTGTCATACCTTCTATACTGGTATTCTCGCTCATGACACTGGGCACGCTGGGCTATACAATTTTGGCCAGCACCTATTTAAAAAATCTCTGCAATGGATTACGTGAAAACCTAACAAAGCCCGATGCGATCACGTAAGTGAAAAGCGAAAGTATTTAATACATTTCCTTTTTTTATACATTTTTTTATATTATACCCACAGCTGCGGACAAGCCATCTCCGTGCTGCGTCCTTTCATTCGACAACACGAGTTCAAACACGATGTCTACTTGAACCTCTTCCGCTTCGCCTATATGTTCGCTTTGGTCTTGTGGCTGCTGGCGCTGCTACTAATGTTGCTGCGCTACTTCTTTGCCATCGATTTCCAACTGTTGGATGTACAATCCTTGTATGATAACAAATTGGCGCGTCGCTTAAGCCGTCCAGAACCGGAGTTTACAGAGGTGCTCTTGGACAAGGCGCATTCACCAACACTGCTACTGCCACGCCACGAACGCAACAAGTCGGAGGATGATTTTCAAAGTGCAAAGTCGAATTTGAGTGAAGTAGCGATGCCGTTAATCGATACTGGCAAGCCTCGATCAGTGCTGGTGCAGTATGTGCCAACGCAGCAACGCGTGGTTTAGTATAGACAGCATCTGATCTGATCTGACACTGTTAAGTAGAGGCTTAACCAAATCTATGTATGTACAGGTGACAAGGTGGGAGGCGCGTATAATTTTGTGAACAAGCGCTTGAGAACAAGTTTACCTCAGGAATCTCATTTGATCGAAAACTGCACAATTTCTTTTTCCATGTTTTCGCAGCCGCTATTTAATATTTATGTGTATGTACGTATGCATCACCAATATTCGCCTAAGCCAACTTCGGCTCTAATGTGCAGTTTAATGATATTATTTTACTAAATAAATACAGATTTATAATTGAGGCAACCGTCAAGGCCAAGCAATAACAACTTATACATGGCTGAGCCTTTGTAATATTTAAGTTAACGCGTTATTTTATTTCAAATCCTATTTATTGATTTTTATATGAATTTTAATGCTTTTAACCACTATGTGCGTGTATAACAGAAATATATTAACATATATGATTAAATATGTATAAATGTAAAAAAAAATATTTATTATGTATCAAACTACTATGGCGCTGACTTAAACTATTTTCGTGGTAATAGTTTTGGTCTCCAGATAACTGTTCAAACCATCGCGACCCATTTCACGTCCGATACCAGATTGCTTGTAGCCGCCGAATGGTGCTTGCGGCAGCACTGCATTGTAGCAGTTGATCCAAACGGAACCGGCATTGACGTTGTTGGCGAATTTCGTCGCTTTATTGATGTCATTAGTAAGGATGCCAGCGGCTAAGCCGTATTCCACGTCGTTGGCGCGATCGATGACTTCTTCAATGTCGCTAAATTTCAAGATAGACATAACCGGTCCAAAGATCTAAAAAAAGTAAATGAATTTATTTACAATAATATAAATAGTTTGGAATCATTTTGGAAAAAACAGCTGGGTAAATAGGAGAAGTTGAGCCAAAAGGCCCTACACATATAGGTATATGTATATATATATACAAGTACATAGCACAGCTTGTAATGTGCTCCTGGTTAGGTGGTACGGATTTTTTTTAGTTCTAGATATAACTGGCTGAGATTGGGTTTCAAAGTTCCTTTATATGAGATCATTAAAAATAAAAAATGCCTGTAAAGGTTCGAAGTATAAGGACATAATTAGTACTATCAAAGCTTCCCAAAAGACAAAACTATTGTGAAAGTGTTGCGAAATTATCTCTTGAAATAAAAAATACATGTTTATGCGTCGCTATTGTCGAAATATAGAGTAAGAAGAAATGTAGAAAACTGTTATTTAATTCTAATTCGAACAGCTACTTTTTGAACAGTTTTTCTTTTAAACGTACACATACTGATTTAACACATACTTAATACTGAAAAGTTATCTTCCAAAATCTTACTTAATTCATAGTAAATTTCCCTGCGAACTTCTCAAAAAATTTGCCCGAAACAACTTACTTCTTCCTGTGCGATTCTCATTTTGTCTGTAACATCGGAGAACACCGTTGGTTCAATAAAGTAACCGACATTGCCGACGCGCTTGCCACCACACTGCAGCTTGGCACCCTGTTTTTGACCAATGTCAATATAACCCAAAATTTTGTTCATCATTTCCTCATCGATTTGTGGACCATGGTTAGTTGACGCCTCGAAGGGATCACCAATTTTACGAGTCTTAGCCAAAGCAACAGCTTTTTTTACAAATTCATCGTAGATCTTTTCATGAACATAGGTGCGGGTGCCGGCGCAACAAGTTTGACCTTGATTGGGAAAAATTGCGTCGTGTGTAACCTGCACAGCTTCGTCAACTAAAACCATACACAAGTTCAAGTTAATTTGCAAATAGTTGGAATATGTCAACAACAGCTTACCATCAACATCGTCGAACACCACAAATGGACTTTTCCCACCCAATTCCAGCGTGACGCGCTTCAAATTCGATTTGGCTGCCGCCTGCATAATAATGCGGCCAATTTCTGCGGAACCAGTAAATGCGACCTTCTGTATATCATTATGCTCTGATATCGCAGCACCTGCTGTGGGACCGTAGCCGGGTATGACATTGATGACACCAGCAGGAAAACCAGCTTCCTTAGACAAAGCAGCCATATGCAGTGCGGTAAGTGGCGTTTGTTCAGCGGGTTTCATGACAATCGTGCAACCGACAGTAAGAGCGGGTGCCCACTTCCATGCCAACATAACCAAGGGATAGTTCCATGGAATGATTTGACCAGCCACACCAACAGGTTCTTTCCGTGTCTGTACAACGAAATCACCACCGGGTATAGTGTCGCCGAAAAACTTATCGGTCCAGCCGGCATAGTATTTCAACGACATAATGGCAAACATGACATCACCTACGGCCGATGTGAACGGCTTGCCATTGTCTTGGGTCTCCAGGCTAGCTAAAATATATTTGTCGCGCTCCATAAGACTGCAGAGCCTGTTTGTGCAAAGAAGGGTAGAGAAAAACAATTGGTTATTGGAAAGGAAAACTAAAAGGCTAGCTGAAAGTGATCTACGCACTTGTTGATCAGATCTGTGCGTTGGAGCGGGCTAAGTTTGCGCCATTCCGAGTTCCGATGAAAGGCTTTATTTGCGGCCGCTACAGCCAAGTCAACGTCAGCCTTTGTGAGATAATTGAAAATTTAATAATTTACATACGTATTAACTATAATTAGTAAAATACTATAACTTAATTTTCTGAAGGCACTCACCTTATCACCCTCCGCAATTTCGGCTATCACTTTGCCAGTTGCAGGATTAATAGTTGGAAACTTTTTTCCAGAGACAGAGTCGACGAATTCATTGTTAATGAAAAGCTGAAAATATATAATTAATAATAACTTATTTAGTATTAAAATTTTTGTTTTTTTGTTAAATTTAATGAAAATTATTATTGACTAAATTGTTAGTTAGAGCACTTATGGTTCAATGGAATCCAATATAAATTAATAGTTTTAGTTAATGAGGACTTCACGAGCCTCCAGAACAATGATCCTTCAATCAAAGTAAGATTTACTAAACAGAACTTCTCAGATAGCAGTAATGTTGTGAGTTTTGAAGGGAGGGGAATATTTTTGGTAAAAGAAAATATTTGGAGTAATATGGACTTTTTAGATGCGTAAAATTATTTTTATTTGAATCATCGACCTGTAGAAAGATAAATCCGGTTCTGCAGCACCAAAATTAATTGGCTACATTAATGTAAGTTAAATATTTAATAGTTTAGAATGTGTTTTTGCTGACATTTCAGTTGACTGATCATTGATATTAATATTTTAAATATTAAGAAACCATCCATTTAAATACAAAAGTTTTCGACCAATATATTGTGACCCTGGGAACAGATGTGTTACTTACATAGATCAGACTTACAAGATAGGAGAAGTTTTTGATATCCAAAAACTAAAAGCGATCACCATTTTAGTATGCAATGAAGAAAAAACTGTAGCTGCAGCTTTTGGAGAGACAAAAGAGACAGAATGTGATCTGATGACTCGACGAATTCCATTTTATGTATCAGCAGACAAATCAATGCGTTGTACGTGAGACGGGTTCGATAGATTGTAATCACCCAGTGATATTATCTACCAACAAATAAGCTTTAAAATATACAATTCTATCAGCTAGCGTAGCACTTTTATTTAGCATTTTTCGAATCAGGCATTATCGAAATAAAAATACTTATCAGTTAGCAATGACTTGCAAACATTTCATTTTTTTCTGTTGCCATGGAATTAATACTGTCGGGTTATGCCGATGTTAGTACTGATATCATATAAATCTAATTAATCATTTTTTAAAATAGAATTTTAAATTAATTTTATGAGAGGTAATTAGATAATATGTGCAAAGTTAGCGGAAAAATTTAAATTGCTAAGCCTTGTCTTTACACCCAAAAAGCCTTTGTTCCCTTACAAATCAGCGCGTGCACAATAACAACACCCGGTTGATAATTTTATAACGATTAAATATCGTAAACATTTCATAGTTCAATTATATATAACTATATATACATACGTACTCTCAATATTTCATAGTTCGAATTTTAATGTTTATGTATGAATATTTTAATATATACGATTATACATAACATACGTACGCTCAAGATGTATCTACAAGTATGTTGGTGTACATAAATGCGTAATCACGAATCAAGCATTTTTAACTTTATGGATTTTATGATAAGTAGAAAAAGTTGACGGCGTACAGAAGTTTTAAATATTGAAAATAAAATAATTTTAATATTCATTTCTTGTTTTCTAATGTCATACTACGAATTGGTTTTTACTCCATTCAGAAGTTCTTCTAAACACAAATCGACGAAATTTCGACACAAAACTTAAAATTGATTATGTTGTGTTACGGCCATAGTTGAAATAAGGGATGGCTGTGGCTTAAATATACTAAAATAACAAATTTTAAGAGTATTGATGTCGAAAGATGAAAATCCGAACATCAAAATGTAGGGCTTTTAAGATAAAAAAAAAAAAAAAAAATTAATTGGCAATGTAAAATTATAGTCTTCTTGTCTGTTTCAAAATTTCTGAATATCTAGTATGGCAGTTACTTTGTGAGTAAGATTTTTACAATATTTGTAAACTATATCAGTTATTTGTAATAAATTTTATGGCTATGCAGTTTTTGTTTAAATATTTTATAGATTTTTATATATATTTTTATTTAATGTTAGAAATGTAAGCACCTTTCCATACTTCCTATAGCGTTTGTATCAGAGAAAACATTATGAAATTTATTTATCAAATCTTTCTTAACAATTACCTGTGTATATTTTGGTACTTCATTAGGATTAGCCATGTCGTTTGTTGTTTTCACTATTAATTATTTAAAATATTTTAATTTATATTTAGAACACTTCAATTTCGATGACTATACACTTCACGCACCGGCTTAAGTACTCTAAGAACTATTTTCACCACAATTGCGTCTGCAGCACTGGCACAACTAAATTTTCTGATTTGTGGTCGCTTTTTATAAGTTAGCCGACAGTGTTTACAACAAATAAGCAACTAATTCTCTGCACTCACTCTATAGAACGCATGCCGGCCAGTCCGTCGCCTATTTTGATCACTCTCTTCATTTGTTGATAATCATTCTTTTTATACTCTTGCAACATGTTGCTACAGAGTATAATAGTTTTGTTCACCTAACGGTTGTTTATATCACCTAAACCTAATCGAGATAGATATATAGATATAGAGCTATATACATATATATAAATGATCAGGATGACAAGACGAGGTGCATTCCGAGTGACTGTCTGTCCGTCCGTCTGTTTGTTTGTGCAAGCTGTAACTTGAGTAAAAATTAAGAAATCACAATGAAACTTGGTACACGTGTTCCTTGGAAAAAAAGAGAGGACGAGTTGATAATTGGCCGTAATCGAACCACTGTCACGCCCATAAAACGCCATAAATCGAAAACCTATAAAATGCCATAACTAAGCACTTAATTAAGACATCGAGCTTTTATTTAACACAACAGATTGTATTGGCAAGGGAAACCTGTGGGCTAAACATTTTGAAAAAATGGGCGTGAACCCGCCCTCTAACAGATTTGATGTATATATGTATCGTCTAAACCAATAAAGCTATAATATCCAAATTCGCTCAGTATAAATCGCTTAAACAAAACTACTGACACTGTAAAAATGGATAAAATCGGGGTTGAAATGGGTTGAATCAGATCATTAATTCCCTTAGTCCCCATATACCAAATATAAAAATTTTCGAACTTCCAGCGAACTTTATACCGGTAAAAAATTAACTGAGCGTATAATATTGGATATTGGTCTACGAATTACCCCAACCCTCATATACCACATACTTGTATAATGATTTTCGTTATTCTAACAAACCCAATGCTCAATATGACGGCCAGTGTATGAGTTGTATCTTTATAAAATTAATTAATTGAAGAATTTTCCCCGAATTTGATCCTTACAAGTTGCAAAAGTATGAAATGTTCGATTACACTAGAACTTAACCTTTCCTTACTTGTTGAATATTACTGTTATCACGCTAGTTGTTGGTAAGCAGAAAGCCTAAAAGCTAAGAGCGCGTTAGCATAGTTCGATTAAGTGTAGGTATATGAGTATGTATGTATCTGAACACATAAATTCTTACGTGGACACGTATTAAAAGTTAACTGATAAATACGCTATTTCTATTAATAATTGATAATTGGCAGCAACTGGTTTCTGTAGCAACTAACTTCTTATATAAGTGACGAAATTTTACATAACCACAAATAACAGTATTTACGAGTGGAGTCATTCATATGTCCGCCACTGTTAGTAGCGTACCAATGACGTGCCAAAAATTTTTTTGCTACTCTCTTAATTGGTTGCTGAAAATCGGAAATGTTACAGTGAACCCCCGATCTCAAGCATCCTAGTATAATATGAAGCAAACCAACAAGCTTTTTTGGTGCATGAGGAAAATTTTGAAAATGACTATGCACTGAATTGTATTTATTTATTTCACAAAACCTAAAGTCCGTTTGCGGAGTGCCTGACCGGAGGTCAATAACTTTACTTGTTTGAGCTCGTTCGATTATAATGAAAAGTTTCCTATCTCGTAAAAAGATGGAAAATATTTTTAAAATTAGGCCTTTGATATCATTAGCCTGTAATTCATACTTAAAAGTTAGTGGTTAAATTTATCAAAGGCCAATTTTTGCTCACCATAATGAGAAGCTCCAAAATGAAAACAAGACAAAACGTTGACTTCGTTGCACCGGAGCTGTAATACCCGTCACAAATAAAAAAGTTCCCATATGTTACAAGAACTAAATTTTGATCGGTCAGTTTGTATGTCGGCTATATGCTGTAGCGTTGCTTTGTACAATAATACATAGCGAATTTTATGAAGTTATTTGGTAAAATAAAAAAAAATTTTTTACAAGAACTTGTTCCTGATTGTTCAGATTTTATGGCATCTAATATTATAGTGATCCGATATCAGCGTTTCCGACATATGAGAAGCTTCTTGAAGAGAAAACGACGTTTGCGAATTTTCAGATCGATATCTGAGACAGACATGGCTTAATCGCATTATTGTATTGTATAATCACGAAACTCTTTCTGAGAGGATACCTAAAAGTTCGGGCAGGTTATCAGCCGCACTAGAGATAAACTAAGACAGCATATAGCTAGCGTATGTAAACTGATGGGTTCTGGCACCTTCAACAGAGACACTAGAGGCTATACTCCTTTAATGGTAAGTAATTGCAAGAAGATGGGGCAAAGCCATTGAATCATCAAAAGGAGCACATCACCTCCATTAGCCATCAATCGAGGCTTCTTTAGTGTGTTTGGGTGATGTGATGATGTATGGGCTGAAAAGCCTTGGGCTTCACTGAGAGATTGAACATTATTACATACATATGTAAGTCCAACCGACATTCTGCTGAATGGTTGTTCATCAGTGAAGGTCGGACTACTTTTTCAAAGATTCTAAATATGCAAAAGTTGGCTTTAAATGTTTTAAGTTGCCATATATCCAATATTTAAAATTAGTGCATTTGGTCAATGGTATCTCGGACATTAAGCAAAGCGTAGTAATGTTATTAAGGGAACAAAAATATGATTGAAATCTATTCACAACTTCGTCTTGCTGTTTGCAAATTGCGAGAATATAAAATGTGTGCTTACACAGGAACTTAGGGCTTACGTACTTCTTCAATTTAAAGCTATGTCAAACATTTAACATATTTCCCCGCCTTTGATATTCAAATCGCCAGAGTACGAAGTGTTGGAACTACTCGAACCCAGCTCTTCCCTACATGTTTTTGAACATATACATAATTAATTTTAGAATTTCTACTTGATTTGTACCTACATATATATGACAAGGTCTAATGAGTTTTACGAGCTTACCATTCCAACTATGTAATGGTGCTAGATTATAGTTACCGATATACTTGATCTGGTTACTATAACAGAAATGTTGTCTTGCGTTTGGCTGCTGGTGTCAGGTAATAATCCTGAGCTTACATTTTTCTGAATAATAAAAGAAAGTAAAATGAAACATAAGGAAAGGGAAAAAACAACGTTTATTAAAATTTGAAATCATTATGTTTAATAGACGTGAATTAATTTGCACATATCGCAAGTTTTATTCAAGTTTCAAAGGTCGCAAAATACAGTAGGCAACTGATCTTGAGTATTTGGTATGCGGTTGCCTATCGGCTGCAATCCTCAAGATAGTGTTCATACACAAGGTCATATCATTGACAGTACAATCTTCAGGTCTACTTGTTTAACAAACTGACTTTTAGCGATATTTTATCGTATTCTTATCGCTAATTTTTATATAGGTATTATTATAAAGATTTTAAATTTTGCGCACGTCATTTGCTCTATACTTGTAGCATATAGCTGCTATACAAACTAAACGATCAAAATCAAGGCCTTCTATGTACAAATTTTTTACTTGACAAGATATTTTCACGAAAGTTTGAATGGATTAGTGTCTAAAAATATTCTGCTTGTTGAAAAAGGTCTCGTCAGTGAAAAGACCGTCCAAAACCGAATTTAATCCAAATCATTGTATCAAACTGTTCACATATAATGGAGAGGGCAGTTTTTATCACTATTTCGTAGAGCCAATACACTGAATCAAGGATATCATGAATCGGCTCAGTTATGTCAGAATTATGCATGCAACCACGAGGCCCCATGGTAGTGATAAAATGCCATTGGTTAGGTTTTCCAGCAAGATAATTATCCTAAGCACACAAACAAAATGGCAAATAAGTGTCTCCCGAACGAAGATGTCTCCCGAACGAAGATGCCTTGCGGGCAGACATATAAAAGGAAGTCGATGTTAATGAGCTTTGGAAGCAGGTAAAACTAGCTTGTAGCTCAATTTCATCATAAAGATGCCAAAAATTTGTGTAATCAATGCCAAGGCGTCGTGCTGCCTTGATACGAAACTATAAAGTCACAGTTACATTATTTCTTTCAGCATTATCATATACGATAGAAATTAATTAAGTGGAATAGTACAGAAAAAAGGTTATAGAATTTTTTGCGCAATTCAGTTGGCAGACTTTAGTCTAGATTAACTTCATGGGATAGTTTTATGTATATTTATTAATTTTAATATGTTCGTATATTCTTAATGTTGTCAATTAATATATATATATGTATATATATATATATATACAATTCAGTTGGCAGACTTTAGTCGAGACTCTAGACTAGCTTCATGGTGATTGTTTTGGTTTCCAGATAACTGTCCAAACCATCTTTGCCCAGCTCACGACCAATACCAGACTGTTTGTAGCCGCCGAAAGGAGTTTGCGGTAGTACGGCATCATAGCAATTGATCCAAACTGAACCGGCATTGACGTTGTTAGCGAATTTCGTTGCCTTATTAATGTCATTGGTTATAACACCAGCTGCGAGACCGTATACCACATCATTGGCACGGTCAATGATCTCCTCAATGTTGCTGAATTTGAAGATTGACTGAACCGGTCCGAAGATCTAAAACATATAATAATAATATGAGAATAATAATATGAGTAATTAATGAATTATAAAGTTAGTAATTTATTGTTTACGTAAAATCTAGTTGAAAATACATATTGTGATATCATATCGAGAAAGATAGAAGGTATATTGAGAAGACTTGGAAGAGAGGCAATGCCTTCTAAATTTTTGTTCTCAACTTTTTGGAATTTGAGCTACTAGTTAATGAGAAGATGAGATGATTCCTCCTCTTTATCATCTGATCAACCAGTTGGCCATGGTTATGACTTGGCCCACTTGAGAACACAGGCTTTGGCAAAAAGCTTTTATACATTTTTCTTTTTCAGAGTATTGGCGCTTAATTTGCTTTGGAAAGGACTAACGGAACTTGAATAGGCTTTTAACAAATGTTTTGGCAGACATTTTTTGTAAGTTTTTTCTTTTTCAAGGAGTTTGCGCTTCATTTGTAAAGAGCTAACGGAACCCGAAATCGCAAAAAATTTAAATACGTTTTTTGTCTAAAGTCGGTCATTTAGAGGGCCATGAAATATTGTTCATGACCTAATCGATGCAACAATAAATCAATAAATAACAACCGTACCTCCTCTTGTGCGATTCTCATTTTATCGGTAACATCCGAGAACACTGTAGGTTCGATAAAGTAACCGACTTTACCGATGCGCTTGCCACCGCATTGTAACTTGGCGCCCTCTTTCTTGCCACTTTCAATATAATCCAAGACCTTATTAACCATTTCGTCATCGATTTGTGGTCCTTGTTTAACGGACTCATCGAATGGATTACCAACTTTGCGGGCTTTGGCTGCCGCCACAGCTTTGGCAACAAACTTATCGTAAATCTTTTCGTGCACATATGTGCGACTACCGGCACAGCAACTCTGCCCGTGATTTGAGAAAAGAGCTTCGTGAGTAATATCCACCGCCAAGTCAACTGAAAATGGTAAAAGGAAGAAATAGCTGTTTACTTTGAAACATAATTATTAAATAAATGTCTGCTTTACTGTCAGCGTCTTCAAACACCACAACCGGACTCTTGCCACCCAATTCCAGCGTAACGCGCTTCAAATTCGATTTGGCTGCCGCCTGCATAATAATGCGGCCAATTTCTGCGGAACCAGTGAAGGCGACCTTCTGTATATCGTGATGTTCTGATATCGCAGCACCTGCGGTAGGACCGTAGCCGGGTATGACATTGATTACACCAGCTGGAAAACCAGCTTCCTTAGTCAAAGCAGCCAAGTGCAGTGCAGTGAGTGGTGTCTGTTCGGCTGGTTTCAAGACGATCGTGCAACCAACAGCGAGAGCTGGCGCCCACTTCCAGGCCAACATAAGTATTGGATAATTCCAGGGAATGATTTGACCAACCACACCAACGGGTTCTTTACGTGTCTGTACAATGAATTCACCTCCAGGAATCGTATCGCCATAAAACTTATCGGTCCAGCCGGCATAGTATTTAAATGTCATAATGGCGATGTCAATATCGAAAACAGAGTCAGCATAAGGCTTGCCATTATCTTGTGTCTCAAGGCTGGCCAATATGCTCTTATCGCGTTCCATGAGGCTGCAGAGTCTGATGTGTAAAAGAGAGTTAGATTTTAAAATAATTGTTTAAGAAAAAAGGAGATAGCTGAATATCATCTACTTACATGTTTATCAGGTCTGTGCGTTGGAGTGGACTCAGTTTGCGCCAATCAGAGTTTCTACGGAATGTGTTCTTTGCGGCAGCCACAGCCAAGTCAACGTCTGCCTGCACGGGGTAAGAATAAAGTTACTTGAATCGGCACATATTGATTTGTATGTATGTAGAAATGTTTCATAATAAAAATAATACCGTTATTTATAGATCATGTGATATTTTGATTAACGTCTTTGCTGCACTCACCTTATCACCTTCAGCAACTTGGGCTATCAGTTTACCAGTTGCAGGATTGATGGTTGGAAACTTTTTACCAGATACGGCGTCGACGAACTCATTGTTGATAAAAAGCTGTAAATAATAAAATATAATTCATGCTTTTAAAAGAGATAATTGAGTGTAACTGGAAGCTTGATGGTTTTTATTGGAACAAAGAAGAATGTTACAATCGATTTCGTTTTAGTTAAAGGTTTTAGTTTACAACCTTCGGGGACAAAAAACTAGGCATTGGTGGAACCTATAGGTTGCTTGCCAGAGTTTCCCTAATATCATCAGCTCATTTTCAGCTAGCTTAGAAATTGAATATCGACAACATTGTATTATATACATACATATACATATGTAAATATATGATAGAAACCTATTGGAGCTTCTCTCCCAATTGTGTTCTGTTTCTTGATGTTATCTCCGAAACATTAGTGGAAATTACCGTAGGATTTTTTGTGCTTGCATGAGCGCAAACGCTCATAGAAAACCTTTTTTTGCGTTGGTTTCTCAGTCACTTTATTTAATTCTGGTTCACTTGAAACTTACAGCTGGAGTTTTTATTAGCACCGTTATTCAAAGACTTTCGTAAATTCTGTTTTTTTCTCCTGAAATTTAGCAAAACATGTTTGGCGTTGGAGCTTAACATATCCCTATCAATATAAACAAAAATGAAGATAGTAGGATTTTTTAATCAAATAATTTTTTTGATTTTGACAAAGAGAAATGAGTGCTAGCATTTTCTAGTTTTGTAGTATTTTAAGCAAAAAGGTAAGGTATTTATAAAATTATAGATTATAGATAGATTATATGTACATATCTACTGCCAGCGATGTTATTTTGCAAACTAGAAAATTACTACTTTTAACATATTTTCAATGTGACAATGTATCCTGAAAATAGTATATTAAGTTTTTCACTACATTTGTAATACCCAAATAAAACGTCGGAGACCCTATAAAGTGTATACGAGTATATATATAAATATATTATACACTCGCCAGAAAAATTATCCGTACACCTCGACATGAAAACAATAAACTGAGAAATTTGTGATCAAATAACTTATTATGTATAAAAATAGTATCCAAAAGTTTTATTCAGTATTATGCCTTATGGTTATACAAGATTTAAATCGAATTACCGATGTAAACTAAATAAAAAACGGTATAATCATACATAATAAAACTTTATCAATACATACATATGCAGTAACAAGCGCATTTGAGCAACTTTTTTATTCCTATAGTTTTGCAATGTGAATGGGCACCTTTACACACACTCACCTGTGTATACTTTGGCGATTGGTTAGGATTTGCCATTTTTGCTACAATGAAGCTTTTAATATACTTTATAATTAAGGCAGATTTTATTGGAACTAAAGTGATTGACTTATGGACCACGTCGCTAGGAACAAACCAAATTTGATATCCCTCTCCGCTGTGAAATGCGCCGATCGGCACATTGCATTATTAACTCTCTCTTTTGCTATATTCGCCAACATGAATAACTCATTAGCTTTCAATAGATAAGGCAAGCCTCTTCGTGAAAACGTTGTTCACAAATACGATTGCTGGCGAATAATAGCTGAAACCAAACATGTATTGTGTGCTCACTCTTATAAATACATGCATTTGTTAACCTAAATTGATACCTGAAGGTTAAAAGGTACCGTGCCTTTTTCATTGTGATTAACGTAATTTAAAAATTATTTGAAACTGTTTTGATTTACTGCTAAATTACATACTTTTTAAAGCCATGTACGCTGATTGTACATATTAGTTAAATTATAAAAAACATATCCTGTTAAAGTTCATTAGATTTATAAGATGTTTGATCTCTTCAAAGTTGCCCGAATGTAACAAAAATGGAAATTATGCTTAAAATACTACATACTTCATCATCTGATTTTGGGATTTCTTGACATTAATAATAATTCAATTTAGAATAAAATTTAACCAAAACATTGCAAGGTGCTTATGTGAAATCATATTTTAAATGGTCAAAAAGAAAATTCTATATTTAGTCGAGAATGCCAATAATGGGTCTGCTCATTGAAAATAAACCAAATTTTCCAATTTCGGCATTAAAAAATAATTACATTTTACTTCAGCGTGCAAACTGAGTTTATGCAAAAAAAGTGCAAGTTCAATACAAAGCAAACAAAAATTAAACAAAATCTAATGTTGTCCAATTTTGTGAGAATTGGGACTAAAAACTTGTTAAATTGCTCAAGTAAACTTGGAAAATATAGCTGATTGAATTGAGGCGCTAAACTTTAAAAGGCTCAACCCAAAAACTATTTGAGATATCGATTTGATCTCTTAGTAATTTTAGTAAATTTGAAAAAAAAAATTTTTTTACATTCATACTAGATTTGCCCCATTACATCCACTTGGCAGCCAATTTATATGTTGATACATTTTGAAGGGAGCACTCTAAGGGTTAACGTGAATTTTGATATTACCGATTTTTTTGCGATTATTAGAATTGATATGCCTGTGATTAGAAATTGTGTATGGTATATACGGTACTCTCTTGGTAACCGCATCGAGTCATTGCATTTACCGAGATCGATCGTTGTAAATACTAATGTATATACTTGTAGTACATTTATCAAATAGTAAAACATATAATATTTAAAAATAAAGTTACTTAATATGTGCAGATAATTGTTTTTTAAATATTCTATTAGTAAATGCATTTTTTTTGGAAAATTAGGAATTAAGCTCTATTAAAACAAACATGTTATAATTATTTTCCGCAAACTATCAATTACAGTGTTAACGGATTCTATAAAGCTTTGATCATCATCAATTTCGTTACATACTATGTATATTTGTATTCGGACAAACTGCCATACAAACTGAACGATCAAAATCGAATTCTTGTATGGAAAATATTTTTATTTGGCAAAATATCCTCACCAAATTTTGCATGGAAGAAATTGTATGGATCGGGCAACTATAGCATATAGTGGACAATTTATTCCACTCTAGCATTATCACCGTCATAATTAATTTCGTTTGATATAATTTGATCAATGTATCTAACTGAAACACCACTCTTCAGTTTTTCCAGAATACTGGGCTTTTGCTTTAATGAATACGACGAATTGTCTGTCGAGGGTTGTGGTTATCGGGTGATAACAGTATTAGAATGCGTATAATTGTTTTGCTGCTGGAGATCTAGGTTTCGTCTAAAGATTTAAGTTAATAGAAATTATTTCAGTAATCTAATCTTCAGTAATAGTTGTATAAAAAAAATTTGTTTTTTACACGATATTAATTTATTTAGCACGATTTAAAATTTGTTGGGCTCAAATTTTATTTGTCAGATCTAATTTTTGCCAAATTTGTTTATATCAGAAACTTAGAGGATTTCCTTTTTTGTGGATACAAGCATGTTTACTGCTTTGACTAACTGTACGAGTCTACCGTTTAAAAACAGAATTAATAAACACATACATACATATTTGGAAATTTTATACATATTTATATATAATTCTGTTTATTATTTTGTTTATGCGCTCCCCCTTTTATATAACCTAACATTTTTCGGCACTTCACAAATGACTATTTGAGTTTCCATATTATTAGTTACACAAGCCCCTACAACTTACCTGTGTGTATTTAGGCACTTCATTTGGATTTGCCATTTTGTTACAATTGATTAACTTTAATTTTCAACTAGCACGCTAGTATTGTTAGCTTTATAAAAATTCACTTAACAAACCGGCAAATTAATGAACAACTAAAGGAATGCTGTCAGCTGTGCTTCTGAAACCAGAAACAACTGAGGGCTCTCACCGGTCCGCCTTATATATTGTTTTTTTCACGAATGTGAGTGTTAAAGTGAGTTTGAGATAACAGACAGCGGTACTCAAGTGCTTTTGATAATAAACAGGTTTGCGTCTTGGCTATAATAAACTTATTTTTATTGCGTACAGGGTGACATGAAGATATTAAACAATTCTATGAAAGTAATAGCTTTTATTAAATCGATCTAAGTTATATTTTTATATTATTGAATTTTGATTCGTTTATTTAAAATATATAAAATATAACATTAATAAATATTACTGAATGAATACCTAAATTACATTGTATGAATAGAAGAGAATTTCATAAGACGCCTTCGAATTAGTGAATATTGTGAAGTATTTTTTTAATATTCTACTGTTTAGGTTTCGCTTTACGATTCTACTTAAGTTGTCTTACTCTTGGATAAAACTAATTAGATTTATGAGTTTTCAATTATTATTGACGTCTTTTTCTAAGGTTCTTTAACAGAATTTGACAGAATCTATGATAATATTCCACGTTAATTGTATCTTCGTAAGAGCGTGTGAAACGAAAAGAAATCCTTCTTCATTACGTTTTATTTATATAAAGTAAGGCTCGCTCTTCTGCTATGAATACTGCAGAGGAACATTTCTATAGCTAGAATTTTGCGAGTTAGCCGGTTTAGTTGAAATTTTCTCACTTCAAAAATTGTTATATCTACATATATGTATGGAACCATTTAGGCTATAAAACCAAACCTTGGCATAATGACCATTTTGCAGAAGTACTTATAGATGCCTATAGAAGAATGCTGAATGAGGTTATAATTGATTTTCAAATTAGTGATGACATGAGAAAGCTTTAAAACTTATCTATTTTCGAAAATGTGCAGTGCGTGAGAAGTTCAGCCAATATCTGGCATAGTTGTAGGCGCCAATATGTCTATTTATTTATTTGCATTTATATCATATTATTCGAAATTTGCATTCATTCGTTTTCCTTGTGAATCAAAATTTGGGTAAGTGATAAAAACAAATTTAATTTAAATTACTCGTTTTTATATTATTTAATACCAACTAGGAATGGATCGTGTTAAATATTGTATAATTGGGTATGATACAAAAATTGTGCAAAAGCGATTCACAATCACAATTCTTTTTATAATTTTGATTTTAATATATTGTATCAGGCCACAAAATGGTCAGCACAGCAGACGGGTATAAAAATGGAAAAACTGGTTGTTTTAACTAGTACATTTATTTTTGTATAATTTAGTTTTGTATTTTTAAGTGAGTCAATGTGAATATAATGTAAGTTTTGTTTATATTATATAAATAAAAATATTTTATTAACTTATCATCCTTGAGACTATTTACACATACAAAATGTTGCAGGTGTTGCAAAAATCCGTTAATATACGGGAAAATTTCTGGGAGAAAGTGGTGTTTTGGAAACCATTTTCGATATTCGGTAATTAAAAATTTAATTATTTGGTCTATAACTATATTCGTGAGATTTGTCAAAAGATGGGGTAACTTGATTATTATTCCAATGTTCCCTAATTCGGAACATGCGTAGGAAAGCTACTGTTCTTGTGCCTCGTTTTCAGTAGTTCAGAGTACTTCTTCATTACTTCAATATGAAGGACACCTGAGCCGAAAGTCATCGTATTTTGGTGGTTTTGGTGTCACCAGCTCTAGCTGAGCGAACGTGCCAAAAGTTGTTCGCAAGATTTAAAAGTGGTGATTTTGACTTCGAAAGCGAAGAACGTCTTGGGTGGCCAAAAAAATGTGAAGACAGGGAATTGTCAGCATTACTAGATTAAGATTGTTGCCATACACAAGAAGAGCTCGTTGAATCTTTTGGAGTCACTCAGGTTTCCATTTTAAAACGTTTAAACGCAAGGAACCTGGGTGCCATAAGAATTAATGCCGAGAGCGTTGAAAGCCGATTTTGCATGTCAGAAATGCTTTTTGAACGCTACAAAAAGAAGTCCTTTTTGCATCGCATTGTGACTGGTGATGAAAAATGGAACCTGACTAGCGAAATCATCGACAAAGCCGAATGTTATTCACGCCAAGATAGTGCTCTGTATTTGTTTCGATGGGAGGAACGTGTTTTATTATAAGCTTCTAAAACTGAGTGAATGGGGATAATTACCGACAACCAGAAACGCTCGCAATTTCCGACTAAACACGAGGTAATAATTTTCCATTATGACAACACTCGGTCTCATTTGCAAAATAGGTCCAGATGGGTCAGTTATTCTAGGATGGAATCCACAAATTGTCAGGAAGATGAGAAATGTTATAGTCGCAGATGGGCAATACTTTGAGACATATGATTGTTAAGTTTTCTTAAATTAACGTAAAACTTTAGAGAAAAAATGCACGAATATAGTTATAGACATAATAAGTATGAGGCAACGCTTACAACGAGCCGTCTCAAGATTTTAGACAATTGTCTATAATACTGAAACTGAAATATCTGGAGAGCATAAACGACTGGTAGAGCTATTAATAATATCAAACGGAAAAATCTACGTATTCACCAAAGCGTCTAATGTGCAACAGGTTTATTTTTCTTGCGCTTATGATGATGAAACATCTCCAAGTCATGGTTCTAATAATTTTTGAAAAAATCAAAAATTTAGTACAATTGTATTTTGTTTTTATTTTATATTTTGATCGATTTTTACAATGTTTTATTTGTAATGCTGTAGATGACCTCTGATTCTCCAATTTGTAATATACTTCGAATTCTCCGAGGAAGTAATTTACCTAGTAAGTAAGTTATAACTCAGTAAGACTCAGGAAATTTAAGTAATAAAATCTCTACCGAATTTGAAGCCTTCGGTTATAGATTGGTTGCTCTGTCCTGGAAAATCATTAGGCCAAAACTTTCGTTTAGATGTTTTTTGATGATGTAATATGTTTCGTGAACGTGACATCGATTTTCTCTTTAGATCATGATGATCTAGAAATTTCAATTTCCCAAAAGCGCTTGTAATCTGCGACCTGGAAATATAATACAACAAGCATAGCTGATCAATAAATAACAGTATAAAGTAATTTACCACAGACAATATGGTTAACTACTTTGTACCTGTAGTACTCATATTCATAATTCACGTATTCACAAAATGGCTGCAGCTCTAATTCATCGGGACAAATAGGGTTTCCGTGCAAACTGAGGTACTCTAGATTTGGAAAAATGCTCGCCAAAAGTTGAATAGTCTTCTGAAGGTCCATCAGCTTAAAAGCAAGCGACAATACAAATCAAGTATTTAGTGATTTTTTTATAAGAATATCATATTAGCATTTTACCTCGTTGCGGTTCAACATCAGCACCTTCACCTTCGGCAGCGACCATTGCAGCTGTTCGAAGTGCGTTTCGTGCAGTCGATTGTTGTCTAGAATGATATACTTCAAATTCTTAAATTGATACAAGTGCGAGATGTTCATCAGTCGATTGTGACTGCAATCCAGATATTCGGTGCGTTCACCAAATAACTCTATAATCTTCGCCGACAGTGAAACGTAATGGCAATGGGCTAAGATGAGCTGTAAATAAACAATGACTTGCTTTGTTATCTACGATTACGCTCTTGCATTGGACACTCACCTCCTTGCTCTGCGCATTATAGCGCATCTCCGGATGGGCCATAACACACACCCCCACGCACCTGCGCACTAAATACCTTTCTTATTTTCGACGGCTATTGGTATTACTTTCTAATTTAGCATATAACTGTATTTAATTCAATATTTACAGCTATGTGTTAGCTTTTTTGTTAGAACTCGAAACCGCAATTGTTTAGTGTTGTTCGTTCTTAGTTCTTCATTACAATCTGAGTATTGCCGAAGTACTGAAGGTGCAAGTTTAAGAAACAATGTCTTCTGGCCGTTGAGTTATAGCGATAATCGCAAAGAGATAAGACGAATGTAATAAATTTGAGATGTAGATGGCAGCTTAACGCGTTTCCGTTGGGGATGTGCATCCGAGATCGATACATTTTTGTTTAATGCAAGAAATAATTCATTATAAGAATACAAACTTGTATATGCCCTCGTAGGAATTGTCTCGTTTTCTTTTGGTTAACTTTCTTAAACTTATCGATTTTATATCTCATATTGGCAGGAACATATTAAGCGTCCATTTCGATTGTTAAAATTACTTTAATCGTTACAAGTTTCAAGACGTTTATTGAAATGCCCAAAACCGAAAAGAAATAAGTAAGGAAGGGCGAAGTTCGGATGTAACGAAACATTTTATACTCTCGCAAAGTCAAATGGGGTACTCGTTTGAAATTTCTTTTTATATATTTTTATAGTAAGAAGTAGTAACTGTTGCCTCAGTTATTTTGACAATTTTTGGTCACAAGGTGGCATACTTTAAATGCATTAGTCACGCAATGTTTTACCCCTAAACTATCGTTGCTGTTTGATTGGCATAGGGAAAGTGAAAGAATCAGATGAAACTTATGGTGTTATATGGGAAATAGGCATGTTATAATCCGATTTCACTTTAACATAGAAATATGAGAAGAATGTTATGTACCGAATTTGGTTAAATTCAGTTAAGCAGATCCCAAGATATGGGGTTTCACTTAAAAATGGGCGGTGCCACGCCCACTATCTAATTTTGAACGTGGTTCCTATAAAATCATCTTATACCATCCCAGGGATTAAATTTAATGTCTCTGGCGTGTTTAGTGCTTGATTTATCGCGCTTTTAGTAGTTCTTAACAGTACCGTTATAAGGGCGGTGCGCCGGGGTTGTCACTCGATCACACTGTCGATAGAAGTGCTAAAAAAATAGCAAATTATAGATTTAGAGGTTTAGGAGATATACACATTAAACTTGTTAGGGGGCGGAACCACGCCCATTAAAAAAATTTTAACTGCAGATGCCCCTTCCTAATGTGATCCTGTATACCAAATAACAGTCTTGTATCTTATCGTGGAGCTTAGTTATGGCAATTTATTTGTCTTTGATTAATGGAGTTTTGTGGGCGCGGCAGCGGTCCGATTAGGTCCATCTGCAATGTCAACCGTTTAGTTCTAGGTGATACAAACAACCATTGAGTGAACGAAACTATTATAATCTGTACCAACAGGTTGCGAGAGTATAAAAATAACACCTGAAGTATTCTAAAACTTGGGAAACTGAACCAGGAAATTCGTATCCTTTTACATGTTTAAACAGAGAATATAGGAATATTCTGTTCCTTCTTATAAATAATAAAGATAACAAATATAAAATTCAACATTTATAATAATTAACTGTAGAATTACCACGCCGGTCGAATTGCAGCCGTTTTTGTTGGACTTCGGATGAAAACTTCCACAATACTTACAAATGTATATATACTATTTACTATCAAAAATTATGTGGCATTTGTTTTATTATGATTAACATTTTTCTCATTGTGAATTGCTATACCTGTAAAGTTACTCAACTTATATGCCGTTATTTACAATTTATTGTTATATTACAGGTTGGATTGCACCTGATACTACGAATTTGAATTTGGCCTACTGTTTCTACTGTCGTGCGAAATTAGAGGCTCACAAAATGAATTTAATTAGTCACGCAAAAACCGTCAAACATAAGAAATTTATTCAATGGGATAAGGCAGCCAACGCAACTACATCTATGTATTTATATCACAAATTTATAAACCTAGATTCTTCATCGGATACGTTGAAAAACCTTAAACTTCATAGTACTAAGTGTTCGATGATGCATGAAGCATTAATAGAAGACATCGGTAATTCTCCTTACTTTATTATTTATTATTTATAATTCTAAATTTACTTTTAATGATTAATATTAATAAATATTATTATAATTTAATGTATATAAGTTATGTAACAAGATTTTATTATTTATTTTAATAATAATTATTTTTTAAGGAAATTTACTCTATTTCTGTTGAAGTTTTAGAAAGAACATTTTTTAAGAGTTGCTAACACTGCTTTGCTTTGCGATTGCATTAGCCTAGACGAAGATTTGGTTTCAGAAGTTTACACCGATGCTAAAATGTAATTTTGTCTAACATATCTCTTCGGAATCAATTCAGACAGCTCGATACCAGAAATCCGTTTTCTTATGTCCAACCCATGCATTTTCACTGTTGCCGAGTGATCAAAGTATCGCATCGATAAATCATAAGATGATGCATTACAAAATAAACAATTTTTGAGACAATTTTGAAAACTAAATAGGTAATTTATTATTTATTACCTATTACACTGGGAAATAGTAGTTTTATTTTTATGAAGTTTCTTACCCGATTTTGTATGATTTTGCCACGCTGATTCCAAATCTGTAGTCAGATTTTCGTTAGCAGCTCTAATTTTAAAATATGAACATTATACATTTTTAGCCAAAAATACTACAATTTTACTTAACTGAAAAAAAAAGTTTGTTTTGTGCTTTTCTTGCATAAGTAGAAACAGCAGTCTTGTTTTGAATGCTCGGGCAGTAATCAGCCATTCTATTTGCAGTCCAACGACCCTAGTATCGCTCTTCCATAGTGTGAATATCCTGATGAAAGTGCTTTCCTTGTTCTTCGCTTAGTTCCCCTAAATTTTCTGGTAAGCGGTCGAAATGGCTGCAGAGAAGGGTATCTTGAGGCTCATGTTACATCCTAGTCTCTGGGAGTGCAACATGTTGTGCTTAATGTGTTGAATGCAGTCTGGGGACTTTTTTCCTAGGAAACCCAAATAAATTCAATCAGTATAGATTTCTCCTTATCTATCATACAATCAGTAAAATGTTGGTCGTGTTTTAGTTCCATGATCTGAGGACCTTCAGAAATACTAGCTTTAATTTTTTCTTTATTCAATTTCGGAAATATTTTACTGATATATTTAAAACATTCCCATCCTTGTTTAGAGCTTTCACAAACTATTTTATCAGACCTAACTTTATATGAAGAGAGGGTAATATAATGCGGTCTCTGGTTACTAGAGGGGGATTCATTACAAATTTCATAAGAACATGAAGCAGGGGTATTTGCGTCCTCCTTGTTGACCTAAAACAAATTTACCATTTTAAGATCGACGCATATCAGCCAGTTATGTTCTATGTATTTTTTTCCCAATATACCTGCTTATAGAATAGATAGAACAACAACTTTTCTGATCATTTAAACAGGTTCTTCTTAATGTAGACAAATTTATGAAATTTAGTAATTTTTTGCCCCAGAACTTCATTTCAGTAAGCCGAGTTACGTTATATTACGATATATCAAGGATAACGGGTATCACTAATACTAGAGCTGTTAGGAAAAGACTGAGGGTGCATTTGAAATCAGCGACGTCAAATTAGTAAGAAACAGTGTAGAGACCTCATAAAACAAAAAAAAAGTTAAATTTTTTTTACCAGAGTTATCTAAATGAATTCAAATGTGAAATATTAAAATTGTTCAAAAAGCATCAACTTATGGAGATAGGCAAACAAGTAATTAGTCTTCAAAAGAAAACATGACTTAATCAACATAGGGTACATTTAGTCTACCGATTCATCGTTTCTGCATTAAAAAAGATTTGTTTTCTGGATGTATTCAAATATACCGCCATGTCGGCGACTCAAATTTCTGGCTAAGAATTTTTTCAAGTTTGGAAGTACAAATATGTCAAAAATGGTCTAATCCGATGTACGGTGGATAGGGTAACAGTTAATAGCCTAATTCGTACCAATTGCTTTTTTTGCCGATGGAGAAATTATTCTGCAATTCGGCATCGTAACGACCCAATAAATCATTATAGTAGAGCTCTATGACCTTTTCACTACCACTTTGCGATTGTGAATTATGGTATTTCACACTGATTCTTATTGCCTAGTAAATACCGTAGATACGTGTTTCGTCGACGGGTAGAAAGAATGCAAAGAATTTTTAGCGTTTACACTGAGAAGTGGTCATAGTTTCGCTTTTTGTCCGTAGTGAACAAATGAAGTACCCTTTACGCCAATATCTTTCTAAGGTCCAATATTTAATAGAGGATATTATCCTCGCGGTATTGATGATGTTGATGTCTACCACCTCGTGCATCTTCAATCGGCACTCTGCTAATTAGAGATAAGGTAATGGGGAGTCATCTATCAAAAATCGACTCTCTACTACGTGTTGAAAACAAATTTTTAACGGTCACAATCGAAGGAAAAGAGTAATCATTCTGCAGAATTTTGACAGTACTAGCCTACCAGAATACCACAATAGGTATATATTTTTTTGGATTAATTGGATCCCTCTCGTATTTTATTGGCTAATAGTGACTCGAGAAAAATATGCTGATTTCAAAAGTCTAAATTTTCTTCCAAAGCACTTTTTTTCCAACGCGAACTAAAAACATGCAAAAACGTTAACTTCGGTTGCACCGAAGCTATAATACTCTTCACAAATACAAAGTCTATTTACAAGTACTTGATTCCGATCGTTCAATTAGTATGGCAGCTATATGCTTAGTGATCTAATTTCGTGAAGACATCTCGTCAAATGAAAAAGTTCTCCATGCATACACTATATTCCGATTGTTCAGTTAATATGGCAGCTATATACTATAGTGATCCGACCTAAACAATTTCTTCAGAGATTACATTGTTACTTTAGATAATAACTCATGCCAAATTCCGTGAAGATATTACGTCAAATAAAAAAGTTTCCCATACAAGTACTTGATTCTGGTTTTCAGATTGTATGGCAGCTATATGCTATAGTGGTCCGATATCGATATCGTTTCGACAAATGAGCTGCTTTTTAGTGAGAAAAGGACATTTGCAAAATTTCAGATCGATAGCTAAAAAACTGATGGACTGGTTTGTATATATACAGACAGACGGACATGGCTAAATCAACTCAGCTCATCATGCTGATCATTTATGTACATATTTTATAGGGTCTAAGACGTTTCCTTCTGGGTGTTACAAACTTCGTAGCAAAATTAATATAACCTGTTCAGGGTATAAAAACTTATAAGATAGT